GCGACGAAAACTGACTAACTCCTTTCCTCTCTCCTATCTCATAGCTAAAACCACTCCCTCCTTGCATTCAAAAATTGACCAATAAAAATCTTCTACCTCTTTATAAAACGTCATTCGGGTAATTCCAGAAAACAACATTCTTTAATTATTCTAACTAAATCTATCTGCTTTACAAATATTTCTTACTAATAGCTACAAACGATACCTGTTTCTCAATTCAATGTCTTTTGTTAATAAACTTTTACCGCTATAATCTTTCGGGGGAAAAACCACCGCACATCCCGGTCTATTGTTTAAACACTTTCTATATACACTTTTATTACGGGTAAATCCATTTCACAATAACCGACTTATTTAAATTTCTTATCGATAATATTTGAAAGTCTTGTCTCTGAGGCCTAATGAACAATTCTTTGAACAACTTAAAATACATATTTTGTCTTATACAGGATGTTTGAAACTTTATATGCCCGTGTCTTTATGAAATATCAATAATCTTAATTTTTATTTAAGTAATAAAATTTGTATATCGGTTTTTATTGCTAGTGGACATTCAAAAATACAACAATATATATATTGTTATGATATGTAAAATCGAGAAAAATATTGGTTTGCTTAAAATATTTCAAAGTTCAAAAAATTAAAATAATTCAGATAAGTCGAATAATAAACTACAAACATTTCGAAGAATGGAAGTCTTTTATCTTTGGATTACCTGTATTAAACAGAACGTAAGATATGCATAAATTATTTTCTTTGTAAAATATATTTGAGTGACTTGAATGGGCTTAAGTGAAATCCTAGACAATGGAAGCGGGTTTTCCAAATAAATTTGTGCAGTAATTAGGACAATAGAATAGATTTTAGAAAGATATGTTTTTGTTAGTTCATAAGAATTGGTAGAAAAAGATTAGTTTGTAAATAAGTTTTAGGAAATTTTATAATTGTAGGTAAAAATTTGTTTGTGTTATCGAAATGAAGAAATGGGAGATTATGACGCGTTTTGATTGGATGAGATTGAAAAAAGGTGGGATGGTTGGTTTGAGAATGAGACTTTAGTTAGTTTTTGAAAAAAAAAATATGGTCAGTTGGTTTTCCAAGTGTGCAAGGCGAACAGTCATTGTTCTCTGGTGGTTCCCGAGAGGTAGCAAGCAGTAGTGTTGAATGTTAGTGAGTTTTTGTGGAGTTAGTGCATCTGACAGAAGCTGATCCAGCAAAATATTGTAAGTCATATTTTTCTACTTATATTCCAAGAGTCACTGTTCAGGCCAACGGGAGATTCAGTTTAATGTAAAGAAAAGATATTTCAAGAGTCATTTTTCACTCAGGCCAACGAGAGATTCAGTTTATCGAGAGGAGAAGAGGCTAGCATAATTTGAATGATTCGTGCATTTGAAGGAGATTATTAAAGACGATAAACTTGCACCAATTTGTTGTAAGATTGCTGATTACCTAGGGAGCTGCTAAGAATAGATAGTATAGGCTACAAGGAACAAGGATTTGGACCACTCATCATCAGAGAGAGATAGTTTTGTTTTTCTGCAGTTTTTCTTTTATTGATAACACAATTTTTACAATTACTTTAGAAAAGATATAAATATTTTGATTAGGAGATTTAGAATAATAATTGGGATTTTGAGATTTTAATTTATATTATTTTATATATATATATATATATATATATATATATATATATATATATATATATATATATAAATTTACAATAAATTTCAGTGTTTAAATATATCTGCAATGAAGTATAAACGTATTGCATGTGTGTACATGCGTGATTTAAAAATATTAGAGATTAATGCAGTGGAAACTATAGAATGTAAAAATTGCGTCAATACTTGCGGTAGTGGAACATAATATTAATTATTAATTAAAGAGGTTAGCTAATCTAAGGTTATAATTTATATGAGTATTCTAATCTGATGAGAAGAAAACTGCATCATATAGACAATTGTTATTACTATTGTGTGCTTTGCAAATAACAGACTTTATTGTATTTGAAGCAGTTAACATGCCTTAATTAAAATTAAGAGAGTAACGATTACTGTAATTAAGTGTTATTGGGCGTATGGCATTTCGATCAGTGGCAGCTGGTGAGGGAGGGCTACTGGACGCCGCTCTCCCTAGTAATTATTTATAAACAATTCATTGTTTTTTAAAAGTAACGAATTTGGAATAATGTGAAATTACCACAAGGTTAGAAAAATGCATCTATGTGCCCGATCCACAAAAAGGGAGATAAAAACCTGTTCCAAAATTATAGAGGAATTGCTTTATTAGATGTAGCATATAAGATAATGGCTTTGATTATAAGAAACCGACTATCAAAATATGAATCTGAAATCAGGTGAATATCAGGGAGGTTTAGAAGAGGCAGATCTTCAATTGATCAGATTTTTACGATGAAACAAATATTGCACAACATCACGAACAAAATCTAGGTTATGAAGGAATCATGCTTGGTACTGAAAGATTTTATATTAAAATATTGATTACACTAGCAATTGTTCCTAGAGTATTGTTCTTCTTCTTCTTCTTAAGGTGCCGTGCATTTCTGCGTAGGCGTCCACCGTACATCGTCTTGTCAGGTGAGATGTTAAATATTCTGGATTAAATAATTCTGTTTTTAGCAGCATTGCGAAGCATTTCATAGCTGTGGATTCCTGTCCATTGTCGAATATTGCGCAGCCATGACATTTTTTTTACGTCCGAGACCTCTCCTACCCTCTATCTTCCCTTCGAGTATCAGTTGCTGAAAAGTGTATCGTTCTCCTCGTATAATGTGCCCCAAGTATGCAGTCTTCTTACTTTTTACATAATTAAAAAGTTCCCTATCCTGTAAGCCCGCTCTTCTGAGTACTTCCTCATTTCTGACCCTGTCCGTCCATGATATTCTGAGCATTCGACGCAGGCACCACATTTCGAACACTTCAAGTTTGTTAATGGAACTGGCCTTTAACGTCCATGCTTCCATTCCGTACAGGAGAACAGGCCACACGTAACACTTAAGCATCTTGTATCGGAGGTTGAAGTCCAATTTGCGATCAGTCAGAAACTTACGAAGCCTCAAAAAAGCATTTCTGGCTTGTTCAACTCTGCTCTTTATTTCATTATCGGGTCCCAACCCTCATTCAGCAAACGTCCCAAGTATTTGAATTGCCTGACTTGTTCGATTTCTTCTCCAGAGACATATATCTTTGCGTTGGGGTAATCATTTCTACTTATAATCATTGATTTTGTCTTCTTGATATTTATTTTCAAACCCCGAGCTTCACTTGCAAGAGTTAGATCATTTAAAAGGCATTGAAGATCTTCGATGTTATCTGCCACTATGGCTGTATCATCGGCATACCTGATGTTATTAATAAATATGCCGTTAACTTTAATACCCTTATTAGAGTCTTCCACTGCTTCTGCGAAGGCTTTTTCTACGTATAAATTGAACAGCATTGGGGACAGTATACAACCTTGCCTTACTCCTTTTTTAATGGAGAAATCTTCTGTTTCGTTGGAATTTTGAAGACGTACTGTTGCTGTCTGATTCCAATACAGATTGGCGATGATTCTTATATCCTTTGCATCCAATCCCAACTCTTGTAGGTATTTTATCATCAATTCATGTTTTACATTATCTAATGCTTTCTCGTAATCGATGAAACATATAAAAACATCCTTTCTTTGATCTAAACAATTCTGTATCAATGTTTGCATACTAAAGATCGCTTCTCTCGTGCCAAGTCCATTTTTGAAACCAAACTGACTCCATCCACTGACCTCTTCACATTTTTTAAACAATCTAGTGTGAAGTATTCTCAGGAAAAGTTTCAAAAAGTGACTCATTAGGCTTATTAGTCGGTGGTCCTTGCAGAAGTTCGCACGTGGTATTGTTCAATGCGCATAAATTATTTCTATATTATCTGTTGTTTCTCTTTTTATATGACTTTGTATGTGTAAGTAGTATGTATATGATATATTTAGTAACGTATTATAGTATATTATATATTAAGTACACTGACCTAGATTATTGTATAGCAAAAAAGAGGTTCAGTTGTAAAAGTATGAGGTTGGCACCTACTGCAGTTTTGCAATAAAAAGTTAAATTTTTTTCCACACTAGACACGGGCTTGTTGGCCAGATCCTTTGGATAATTGGCTAGCAAGATAAGCAAATACCTTTCTCCAAATCGGCAGCTGGCACATACAAAAGCCCAGTGTGGAAAGCCAGTCTCTTGGGGCACACAAGCAAACCCGTCCAAGACTGATCACGGTTTTTCATCACTGTATCACGGCTTTCTATCTTATAAACAATAAGGTAAATTACAGACTGAATGTAGAATTCGAAGAAAATATTCTAAAGTACAATTCGGATCCAAAATACATCTTATATTTAAGAATAAATATATCCTTGATATCACAGATGATATATAATCACAGACGAAATATAACATATTATATTCCGAAGACCTTCCCATAGAACATCAAACAGCCGGGTCTTTATAAGAGCATGCATAAGGAGTACTGCTCGGGAATATTTTTGTAATCCTAGGTATTTAAAATGCGCGAATTTTTTCCTAGCGATAGTAAGAACTACATGAATTAAATATTACTAATGCTTGTTCCCTTCGAAACGTCCTTCTGATAATTTTATAACTAATTCTTGCTGATTTTTTTGGAAAAGTGTAATATTGGCATCATTTTCATATATGAGTGGAATATTTTAATATATTATAAAGAAAATTATTTAAATTTCATAATTACACTAGCTGAAGTAAGCTTAGAGTTTTCTCTAAGCTGTTTCGTGAGTTACAAAAAAAATGACAGATTGGAAATAACTAGTAGATAAAGCAAATGTGTAGAGAAAATATTTGGAAGTTTATTTATTAAAAACAGTGAAAACATTCTATGGTAAAACATACATATGCTTCTAGTTGTAGTGGTAAATCGTTTAATCGGAAATATTAATAAGATGTTTTTCTACTTTTTTTGCAGCATGGAGAAACAAGGAAATCCCCCACCATATACTGGCCCATACAACGGACCCCCAGGACCTCAACCTGGATTCCAAATGCCGCCACAAGGAATGCCTCAACATGATCCACAACAAACAGGTAAATAATCTTATGCTATTTTAAAATATGAGTGATAACATAGAAGGTACTCAGTACTAATTGTTTACTGGCAGTCTACTTGAAATATGTTCAATGGGAGAGTTTGTTCTGAGAAAATCTGGCATTAATTGATGGATACAGGATCATCACGGTAAACAAGGTGATAACTCTTTCTACTTTATATCCGAAGCTTTTCAAACGTTTTCAAATAAATATATAAATTCATATCTCCAAGACGACTTTCATAATTTCCTTGTATAGACTTACTCGAGACCTGCTCCAACGAGAATGCAATAAAGCACCCTGCCATAACCTTACCAAATTACTTAAGGATTTTAATGCAGAAATTGGAAAAGAAGTGCATTATAGGATGCTACACGACAACACAGTCTACATGATTTAAGAAGCTCAAATGGAGAAAGATTATGTCAAAGGTCAACTAGCCCAAGCTCAAAATTTCATAATTAGTAGCACTTATTTTCCTCACAAACGGATCAATAAGGAAACTTGGAAAATCCCAGAAAGTACGGATTGCAATCACATGCATCCATCCAAAATGTACATTCCTATAGAGGAATATTCCTATAGTGAAGCAAATAATGAACAATATCCAAAATGCTTTGGAATAGACAACAAAACAATATCCAAAAGAAAACAAAATGGAATATAAATAAACTGGGTAATGAAGAAAGCAAGCACCAAAACAGAAGGGTGAAGGTCAATGTCGACGGAACAGATCTGGAAAGAGTAACAAGAACAACGTACCTTGGAAGTAATCTTGATGAAACTTGGGACCACTCACTAGAGATAAGAATACGCCTGGAAAAGGCACGTACAATGTTTTACAAAATGCAAAAAGTTCTATGCAACCGCCAGCTGGGCATCTCATTGAGAACTAGAATACTTAAGTGCTATGTTTTCTCCACCTTGCTCTATATTGTTAAAGCCTGGATAATGACAGAAGCAACACAGAAAAGAATCCAAGCATTTGAACTCTGCTGTTACCGTAAAATGCTCAGAATATCCTATATGAGCCATACGACAAATGCGGAAGTCTTGCGGAGGATGAATAAGGAAAGAGAGCTTATGCTTATAATAAAAGAACGGAAAACACAATATTTTGGTCACATCATAAGAAATCAAAAGTATGAACTGCTCCAACTTATAATCGAAGGCAAAGTCAATAGCAAAAGAGGACCAGGAAGAAGACGCAACTCTTGGCTTAAAAACCTACGGCAATGGACGAACATGACCTCCATAGAACTATTCAGGGCTGCTACAAATAAGATTAAATGGGCAAATGTAATGGCCAACGTCCTTAAGGATAAGGCACCGTAAGAAGAAGAATGAAGAAAATCTAACAGAGTATAAAAATGCTATAAACGACGAGTTAAACAGAAATGTGGAATGGTGATGAAAAAATATCTATATACTAGTATACTAAATAATAATAATAATAGTATTCTAAAAGCGACAGAGCAAATAATAGAAGAACGGGAGAAGCATTAAAAAACAAAAAGGTTTGATGTTAAATGTAGATTAATTATACGGCAAAAGGCCTATGCAAATATAAAATACTTACAACTAGGAACAATAGGTAACAAGGAAGAGTACCACATCAAATGAAGAGAAACAACTAAAGTGTATAGAAGAAAGAAATGAGAGATTCAAAAATAAAAGAGATAAACATGACTAAAAAAAATAATACAAAAAATTCTATACAGATGTGACACAATTAACAAGAGTTTAGACTTTGCAAAAGTTTTTGTAAGGATAAAAGAGGCAATACCCTGACTTATGACAAAGGCATTCTAAGAAGGTAACAAGAATCTTTCCATGAGCTACGAAATCATAAAAATGTAGAAGAGGTGGACAATACACCAGTAGCTCTATCAGTTGCGAGAGAAATTCATGAACATTCCGAAAATAAAATAATGGTATAATAATAGCTGAATTATAAAAAAAATGGAGGAACAGCACTATGGAAACAAATACATGCTTTAATCACCCAAATATGGGATGAAGAAACAATTCCTGAAAAATGGAAATTGGCCTTATATGCAAGGTAATAAGCAAGAATGCTCCAACTTCAGAGAAGTTATGTTAATAAAGATATTATAAAAAGTGTATTCTTCCTATATACAAAGTGACCATATATTGGTTAGAGCGAATATTAAAATACAGAACACAGACGAGAGTAGGACGAAACAAACTAATTAAACGAGAACGATACCTGACCACCGATGTCCTATTTCAAAAACAATCGGAATGTCAAAAAGAGCTAAGCACAAGACTAAAATCAATAGAGACACCGAAATAAATGGATGTAAATGGTCTAGTCAGTCTAGCCAATAAAATAAAAGTAACTGCAACAATATCGGTTAAGAAAATATGCTCAAACACGAAAATAGCCAAAACATCTAAACTCCAACCTAATACAATTAAACTACTTCAAGAAAGACGAAATGGAACAGATCGAACTTCGGACAGCTTCAAAAGTTTAAACAAAAATGATAAGAAAGAAATTACGAACGATCATAGAAACTGTACTAACAATCTAATAAAAGATATAATACTAAAATCGTATCGTTCTCAAAATACAAAACTGTTTATAAATTTTGAGAACGATATCCAAAGTGGAAATTGAAACGAAAATAAACTTACTTTAACCTTTAATTGTGGCTTATTTCCATTTAAATAGTAATTACCTATAGAATTGGCTTTCCACTTGCTTTGAATGAGCAATGAAAGAAATACAAAAATATCATCGAATGGAAACCGACCGAAAATAGACCACGAGGTCGCCATAGAAATCGTTGGTTAGAGCAGGTTAGAGAGTGTGAAGAATGATCTAAGAGTTATGGGAGTTCGGATTTACAGAAGAGTCATTAGTGGCAGAAGGGAATAGCATGCAATTCTTGAATAGGCCAAAACCCACAGATCGTTGTAGCGCTAGAGTAGGAAGAAGATTTACTCATATAAACTTTACTACAGACAACCTTCAGAAATACATTTATCTTTATGGTTAGTAAAGGAACAATTAATACAAACCAACAATTACCAATTCACTCGTTATAAATGTATTATTGATATGTGTTTTTATACATAGTATGAAACAATGAAAATGATTAAATGAAGGTTAGATACTTGTTGGCACAGTCACGTTTATAACGTAACACGTAACATGAAAACCTTTTTTATTGGCATTTTAACAGGACAGTATTGATCTACTTATTTTACAAGTAAACAGCAATGAATGAAAAGAGACAATTTCCTGTTATATTTTAATATTTATTTTATTCTTATTATACACTCATAAAAATATTTGTTGTTGGGCTTCGCAACAATCACATCCCATTTTTTTAGGCAAATTTCACAATTATATAGGATGGCAGACCAATATCGACATTTATACCAATACAAAGAAAAATAAAGCAAATAGATGTTCACAGTTCAAATTAATTAGTCTGATGAGCCATTTTCTGAAAATTTTACTCAAAATTGAACATCAACGTATGTTATACAAATAATGCGAAAGAAACCTGAGCGACAATCAATTTGGATTTCGTATGGGACTTGGTACAAGGGAGGCATTATTTGACCTTCAGATATTACTACAAAACTGTCGAGATCAGCGAAAGAGACGTGTCTCTCTGTTTTATCGACTACGAAAAAGCGTTTGACCGAGTAAAACACACAGAACTCATAGAAACTATAACAAAATGGTATAGACCATAACACTCTAGCACGTATTAAAAAATTATATTGGGATCAAATGGCGTCAATCAAAATAGACAATCGTCTGACAGCAGAATAGCCAATAAAAAGAGGAGTTCGTCAGGGCTGTGTACTTTCTCCACTGTTATTTAATATATATTCAGAAAATATCTTTCAAAATGCCCTCGAAAATATTGAAGAAGGAATAAAAATCAACGGAGAATACGTAAACAACTTAAGATACGCAGACGACACCGTCATTACTGCGGACAGTGCTGAGGGTTTACAACGACTTTTGAATGTGATAACCAGAGAGGGAGATAGCTTGGATATAAACAAACATAAAACTAAAGTAATGGCTGTTACACGTGCACCAAATGTCGACATTAATATTCGTATCTATAACAAACATATAGAACCAGTACAAAGATTCCAGTATCTTGCTTGCTTGACATAATATATAAAATATAATAAGTATAACAAATGATCTTGGCCACGAGGTCGAAATACGTGCTCGTATAGAATATGCTAGGTCCGCATTTCAACGAATGAAAAAATTCCTAATAAACTCTACGTTATCGTTGCATATCCGATACCAATTCGTAAAAACGTTTATTTATTCCATATTGCTATAAGGAGTGGAAACATGTACTCTCGGAATTACAAGTATGAGGCATATAGAAGCCTTTGAGATGTGGGTTTTTCGAAGATCTCTTGGAACTCGTGACCAACAACGAGGTGCTAAGAAGAATGGGTACTAAGAGAAAATTTCTAAATATTGTAAAAAACAAAAAAACTAGTTATTTGGTGTGGCTGAGTGGCTACTTATCTATTTGTGGCTGAGTGGCCACAACTGCCGAAGTAAGTCTATAAACGTTTATCACATACAAAATTTTTTTCAACCATATACTTGGAGCTTTTATCCAAGTGAATTAATTTTCCTTTTTATAAAAAACGTTTCTTGGCTTATTTCAGATGCCCCTGAAGATGATCTATTGATCGAAAGTACTTGGGCAGGATTAAATTAATCACCGGGTTCGATAGTTGCCTTGTATACCCTCAAAGTTTAATTATTCGAACATTCAACCTTATATTGACTTATCTATTTATTGAATACATTTCGCTTTCTAATCAGAAAGCATCATCAGTTCATCTAAAAAGAAAAATATGAAAAACCAACCATTCATAGAAAAGTAATTATAAGCGTGTTACCTCAAAAAGACATGTAGCAGTCAATGCTGTTAAATATGTAAAAAAGCTTACATTTTTACCGAAATTTTTACATACTTTTTATATACATGTACAATCACCACATGGTCTTTTGCTCTGCTAAGTTTAAGTTAATTTGTAAACTGTACTTTTTATATACATGTACAATCACCACATGGTCTTTTGCTCTGCTAAGTTTAAGTTAATTTGTAAACTGTATTAGGTTTCAATTAATTGTTTATACAACATAATCATTTAATGTCCATTGTCATAAGCTTCTTTACATATTTAATATCATTGACTGCTACATGTCTTTTTGAGGTAACACACTTATACATAATTACTTTTCTATGGATGTTTGGTTTTTCATATTGTTCTTTTTAGATGAACTGAAATAGATGAAGTACCCACCTTCTTTGTTTTTTTCTCTCCACATCCAAAACTTTCGACATCCTCTTCGATGAATTCTTCAGTGCTTCTGAGGTCTTAGTCTCCCGAACCCCCAGACACTACTACACTGTCTATCTAATTAGCCTTCTTCGGTCCATCTTTGGACATAATCCTCCCCAATCCTTTTCCATTCTTCTCTGTCTGTCGCTACAGTCATCCATCTAGAGCAAACGTGCTTCTTGATATCATCTGCCCAACTCATTTGGGGCCTTCCTCTGCTTCGTTTATATTCTCACGGTCTCCAACTTATAAGAATTTTGTTCCATCGGTCTTCTTTTTGTCTTATATTGTGTCCGGTAAATCTCCATTTTAATTTTGCAACTTCTTGTCTAACATCCCTCACTTTTGTTTTCTCTCTTATCCACTCGTCTCTCTTCTTATCCATTAGTCTTATGTGCAACATTTGTCTTTCCATTGCTCTTTGGGGTTTTATGATTTTGTCCATGTTTGCTTTTGTAGATGTCCACGTTTGGGAACCATAAATAAAAACAGGGAGTACGCATTGATTATATACTTTGGTCTTAAGATGCTGTGGATATCTTTTGTTTTTAAGAATGTAGCTTAGTCCTACTACTACACTAATCACTAACCAATGCATTACTAGTACCAGTAATTCTGATAATATACTGTATTATTCTTCATCTGATAAAATCTCCGGAAGCTCTAAGGTATTATCTAAATTATAAGACTGTAAAACGAAACTCTTTCTAACAACTTCGTTTATCTATATATTTTTCGTAGTAGGCATTAGTGTCGGTATCTAAATTCAGAATAGAAGATAATAGTCCAGTCGTCAGAGGGTTGACCCCTAAAAATTATATGAACAAGCTAAGTTTTGCCGAAAATATTAATTTTCGGACCCAAAACAAGATGCAAAAAATTTACCGCTTTTACCCACGGGATTTCCCCTAAAACGCCCCTCGAAGGGCTAAAAACGCAAAAAAATCGATTTATTAAGACTCTACACCGCAGAAAAAAATATTTCAAGCAAATGTTTCATGTTTTTGTGTCACCTCGACGGTAAAAATTCGATATCTTTTGATCCAAGTGTCCTATCGACAAAAATTAAGATGCGTTTTAAAGGTTCAGAGTAAGTATCAAACGGACAGAAATGGAGTCGTTAAACGAGAATTTGTTAGATAGAACATACAAAGGCGTAAACGACCATTAACACAATCATGAAAGAAAATAAAAACAACAGTACGGTTCTAGATAGGAGTAGCGTCGTAGATCAATTTGTGTATTTTATCAATGTGAAATGATTGTAATAAGCTAATAATCTATGTGCTCTAATTTAGAACGATGAAAAACCGTATAAAGTGAAGTTTTCTCGCAATATAATTACAAACCGGTTACAACAAGTCACTATAATGATGTATTATCAGAGTGTTTTAATCGTTTTAATATATTACATTTTTTTGTTTTAGTAATTGTTACTCACACCGTGGCCCAGGTTCCTGTAGGCCCTTCTCCAACATCGACAACATGTCCATCATGTCATGCTCAGATAGTTACTTCGGTGGAAACTGAAACAACAACAAAGACGCACTTGTTCGCCTTATTACTGTGCCTTTTCGGGTAAGTGTGGATTACAACTTATAACCCTGCTGTCAAATAAAGAAATGCATAATTGGCTTTCTTCCCCGATATATTAACTAAAGTTAAGCATAATTCCAATCGAAAAGAATCGCGCTTATTGGCTTTTACAGATACCCTCCTTGTTATATATTGTATACAGATATAGCACAGATAAGTATTATAACAAGTTCTGGAACTTAACAACCAGCTATAGGTCTTTTATTTACACGTATACCCAGGGCTCTTGTATCGAGGCGACATCGCATAATATAGAGTTGAGAATCAAATTTGTAGGCAGTAGATTCTCAGAAATGTGAATGCTATAAAGCGACCACATCGTTGCCAGTTTGTGAAGATAGATATTCTAGCAATTTATATTTTAGTTATTCACATGCAGCAAAATTATTATATATTAATGATTGTTTTATATTCGTTAAGGTATCTTATAAAATTTATTTAATAATATCAATATTACTGTATAATATTATATTTATATACATTATTTATATATAAAAACATCTAAAAGTACGATCATATCTGTGGAGAGGTCATACATGATAACGTCGTGTTCTTATGATCAGTAGAAAGAAATAGTAGATCAAGGTTGCCATAAGATAGAGAGAGATGAATTACTCATTGATTTCGTAGTTTAGCATTCAGTAGCCTATCGTTCACACTGCTGCAGTGAATGTTAAAAATTAATCCTAATATATTATATTATGATATGAGACTTATTTACTTTTTAAAAAGAGCATGTGACATTTTTTATGACAGTAGCTAACATTCTTTTCACCTTCTCCATTTTAAAACACAAGTTTTCTCTTGTCGCTTATAAGGAGGGAGGCGATGTACAGTTACGTTCTTGAATATTTCTTGAATTATTATACATGCATCCACCTTTTGCGTTATTATTAAAGACTATAATCTCAGGTTCATTTGATTTTTGCTCAAACGCTCAAAAGCTACTATGTCTAAGAACACTTTTATTTTTCTTCGGAACAAAGGATACCAAAGAAATGTTTTTTTAAATCCAAAAATCGTGTAATTTTCAGGAATTTCTTTTTGGAATTCAAAAAGATTATCGTTATTTCCCTCATGTTTTTACGAATAGTTCCAACAAATGTTAACCGATGTTTACTAAGCAAATGTTCCATTAGATCTTCTTCTTAGGGTGCCTGTTCGTTCCGAACGATGGCGATCATTCTGGTTATGTTGACTTTGTTGGTTGCTATACGATATAGCTGTGTTGAGGTCTTTCTATACCATGCTCTCAGGTTAGTAAGCCAGGATATTCTTCTTCGTCCTGGAGCCCTTCTTCCTTCAATTTTACCTTGTAAATTTAAACCTTTCCATTAGATGTATGCTGGTAAACCAGTTGACGAATGTAATCTTGTAGTTAGTGTTAGTTTGGTAATCATCATTACTATTCGTATCTTTGAAGTTGTTGCTTTAAATAATTGGTTAGAAGTGCACTGGAACCAGTCTCTTAAATTGCACAGCCAAGATATACGTCGTTTCCCCACGCTTCGTTTGCCCTGAATCTTTACTTGGATAATTAACTGGAGCAATCGGTACTTTTTCCCTCTCATCACATGACCAAGATATACCAGCTTTCTTCTCTTGATGGTGATCAACGGCTCCTGTTCTTTGTTCATTTTTCGAAGAACTACACTATTTGTTATTTTGTCTGTCCAAGGTATTTTCAAAATTCTTCTATATATCCACATTTCGAAGGCCTCTAGTTTATCTATATTGCTCTTGTTTAAAGTCCAAGTCTCTACTCCGTACAGCAGTATCGAGAGTAGCAGTAACAAAAGCAGCTCGAGCCTTTCCAATTCTAGTTTTATTTCTTCTGTGATAGTTGTTGTTATTAACACTTGTCCCCAAGTATTTATATTTGTGTTCTAACCAACATATACCTCTAAATTTAAAATATAGAATGTTTTGGCATCCACTAAGGCAAATACTTTATTGCCATATTGGGGATATATGGCCCAAAGGAACAACGTCCCTGAAAAGATTATAATTTTTCGCCGATCGTCAAATATCGATTAGGAATCAAATATTGTTGACAATTGGATATAAATCGATCAAAAACACCTCGTGTAGCTGCCAATTTATCTACTCTTTTTCATTTTTCTCTATGTTCGATATTATCGAATCGTATTCACTTTAAAAGTAATATAAATCTTTGCAGGGATATTGTTAGCCTGAAAATATCAATTCCTGATCCATCTGTAGCCCAACGATCCTCTAGATTTAACCCATTTGCTTTATAAACACTTGATAGATATAATAATCGGAAAACTGCACGCATTTCTTCTGCATCCGTAATCTTGGTGATATATTTATATTGATCATTATAATTCTGATCGAGTAAACTGATTTCTTTATTAGTACATTGGACAATATCTTCTACAATAATATCCATGAATAATTCCCAGCAAGAAATGGGCAACTTGCAATATTTTGTATTATTTCGAACACCGGGAAGTAGAGTAATTAAATTTTTTGTGAACTGATTTATTAGGACAATTCTTTGTCCATTTTGTTTTGCCATCCCATCCGATAACAAACTTAGATTGTCTTACTCTATCATCTTCAAACGTATTTTTGTCTTAAGAAGATTCTTTCGACGATGATTGACTTTACTGATAAGAAGTTCCACGCTTACAACTTTCCACTGATTGAAGTTGGTTTTCTAAAACATTCTCACTGGGACGAGGACTACCTGTTGAGTTTCATTTTCCGATTCGCCTTCCGATCCTAACTATGATTTAGTTATTTCATCCTGCCAAAGCTTCAGGGGGCTTCTTGTTCCATTTTCAAACTACACATATCTCTATATGTCTGAAATTAATAATATCTAATTAATTTTCAATATTCCTACCAATTCAATTATGTTTGTATTAAAAAATCAAAATTTTCTTCAATCAATCATTAAATTGTGGTAGTATAAGAACTTAACCTGTTCACATAAACCGGTGCTATGGGATGAAAATTACCACAAACTAAATAATACTGAACTTCAACTGTTTGGTGGGATCAAAATCATCCACAAGTTCAAAGAATGCGACACCACTCATTCTAATCTTATACTCACAACTTAATCTCATACTGAAATGTATGATGCAATAAGCAATACAAGATCTGTTATATTATGGGAAGGTACTCGTGGCGCCAGAAGAGTCTGGCGATGTTGCCACTATTTTAACAACCGCTAATGAACCCTTTCCTTGGTGATTATTTTATTTCTCTAATCTAGTTTTACTTTTTTGATATAAATCTTTTAAAAGCTTAGAATAAAATTTGAAAGAAGTACATACAATATTATAAGACCAATACAGTGATGGCGCGACCGAAGTGTTTGTTTTTCATAATTTTAGACTTGTAATCACTTTTCATCATCAGTGTCTATTTAATAAGCACTTCTGTCCTGAAAAGTCACAGTGGACTTGGACTGTTCTTTTTTTTCATTGACTAAGAACATTATGAGTTATAAAAAAACGACTGAGATAACCACTTCTATCTTGTGATCAAATATTTTAAGCTTCTTTCTATGGTTCTCTATCCCAGTAGTAGGACCGTAGACGAAAAAATCAAGAGCCAGTGTCTATGTGGTGCCACTAGCTTATTGTACCTCTTATCGGTCTCGTCTAGACAAGTACTCGTTTAAAAAATAAAATTGTGTTGTGCGTTTTAACAAAATTCTTATTATATTTAAAAGACTTTATTTAGTTGGACTTATATCATCATTCATAACATTCTATTGTTATCATTAACTTTCGTAAAGTTTTCCAGATAACCAAGCTAAAATATAGCACTGTTTTATAGCTATTTTTCGTAGAAATTTAGCAAATATTTGTTCTGATGATTTATTTTTATAATGACTTCATGTGTTTGCCTATTAAATATTGGATTCCACTTAGACAGGAAACACGACTAAACCTTGAAATACACTATTATTTCAGGCATGTTTTTAAACCTTCAACTACGTACTAGAATAAATGAGATTCGTTATTATATCGGATTATATTTACAATAACGGTTTTGTTGTGAAAATCATTTATACATTTTTAATACAAATATATTAGAAATGGCGTAAACAAAATAAATCTGCTAAAAATATGATACTGAGTTTCATTTTGTCCAAGGTAACTCTTACATTTTGATTATATTTTTCTCCTATGTAGGTACTCTCCTACATTTTTTACCCTTTCTAGCCCAAATGATTTTTTTTCAATAATTTTTGTTGAAAAAACTGTATGTTATAGGAAACTATAAAATAAAAAATAATTGTTGATAACTTTTGTAAAAATTTGGCATTTTAGAGTCTTAAAACTCAAAAAAAATTAATCCGATTTGGAATCATCTGGCGTTGGTGGTACCTGAATTATCCATTTATAACACTTGATATAGTGATCTATTAAAAAATTGCGTATAATAGGAAATACGTTTACTATTGCACTTATACTATTGTACATAGAAACTATAAAAACGATTTTTATTGTTGTTTAAACATGAAAAAAACACTGCACTTAGAACATTTTATTCTTGAGTAAGACTTTATACATTCTTTGCACCTTGTGCGATTTTGATCATGTAGTGGCCAGTGTCCTACGCCATCAAATAGAACATCTTGCACTGGTGCAGGATGCATTACTTGTCTCTTATTTGGTGTATTCTCTTGAGAAGGACATCCTCGTTTTCTCGTGTCGGACTTTCCAGCTTTCAGTAACGCATGTCCAACTTGAGATTTGAATTGAAGATGAGTGGTGTGTTTTTGTTTGTAGTGTCTTCGATACAGCAACCAGGAGTTGACAATACATGGATCAATAAGATTAAATATTGTTCTCAAATAGAATCTTTTTGGTTTGATTTTGATTCTATATAGTTCCACAAGCATGTCATGCAAATCCACACCCCACATCGAAAAATTATATTCTTTGACAATCCGTTCGATTTCTAAATAGGTTTTGCTCTTGTTGCATCATCTCTTC